GCTGGGCTGGGCTGGACTGGGCTGGGTTGGCTGGCAGCCGCTTTAGGCGGCACACATAAACAGCCTCTGACAGACGCCAAAGCTGCTTTACATGTGCAGCGAAGCGTGTGGGCAATCGCCTGACAGCTGGACAGGCCCCCAGTTACAGCTACAGCTTCAGCTCTATAGATTCAGCTGACAATCTCTTGCATTCTGAAATGTCGCGCGTAGGTCGCTAAGCAGATTTGCTGTGATGCTGCTGCACGGCTGCTCTCTGTGAGAAAAAGACCTGTTTTAATTACACAATCGATGGCCAATTAAACTCTGGGTGGCCCACTGACCAGGCATCGACTCTGCCTGATTGTTAGAGTCAGCCTCATAAAAAGTTCCTCATAAAAAATCAATTGAGAATCGAGAGAGCGAGTGAGAGAGAGGGAGAGGGAGACTCCAGAGAGTGGCTGTCAGACTCGCTTTTCATATGTGCCGCGGGTGCAACGCAGCCTCAGCGATTGCATAATTTCAGTTGAAGTAATCAAAAACATACACACACACACACATATAGACTTTCAAAAAAACACGCAGAGGCACAACAACAGAGTTAATTTCAGTAAAGGCAAACAAACCCAAAGCATCGACGACGCAATGAGTCTCGGGCTTGGCTGTGTGGTCCAGACTCTAGCCAAGCCCAGGCTCTTGTTGTTGTTTCCACTGCTGCTGCTGCTGCTGCTGCGGGCGACGTCACTTTGCGTGCAGTCGCCGTCTGTGGCTGTGTCTGAGTTTGGGCTTGCAACTTGCAACACAGAGCGAGAGAGAGAAAGAGAGAGAGAGACAACCTAAAATTACCGCCGCCAATTTAATAGTCACACTTGCCACAGCAGAGCGCCTCAGTCGCAGTCGCAGTTGCAGTTGCAGTTGCAGTCTCTGCCTCCAACTCAGTCTCAGTGCTAGTCACTGCCATAGTTTGAAATTACAAAGTCTTGCCACAACAACAACAACAACAGCAACTCACATGCCCCGCCTGCTTGGCGTCGGCGTGTGAGGGCATTAAATACTTCTAAGAAATGTTCAGATACATTTGTTGTTGTTGTTGTTGTTCTTATTGTTGTTGTTGTTATGCGCGTATTTCTAACAAAGTTTGCTCGGCGTCTCTCTCAGCTGGTGGTGGGTGGGAGTCTGCGTCGCGGGGTCATACCCATTGCTGCCTCACGGTGCTGTGTTGTATGCCTTGAATAATTTTGTTTAGTTGCCGTAATAGTTCTTTGGAAAATGTGCAGCCTCATCGTAATGATGTTGGTAAATACTCCACGCGACTCGACTCGAGTGGGCTGGCTGGCTGGCTGGCTGGCTGGCAGAAGGCGGCAGCCCAAAAGGTTTTGGAGCAGGCGCTAATGGTCTTTTAAAGCTGGCTGCGACTTCAAGGTTGCCTCAAGGGTTGAACGCGCCAAGGTTAAGAATGTGCAGATGCTGCCAGAGCTCAAAAGGTTGCCAGGCTCAAAGGTTTCAGCTAATAGTCGCATCGAATATCTATTTCAGGGCAGCTGCATGCTCAGATTACCAAGCCGTAGTAGATAAGTAATTGAGACGTTTTTAGGCGTGTTTTTGGTGAATGGGCAATCGCATGTAACCCCCCAATGGCTCTAATGGCATTTGGTTTTAGGCAAACGCTGCCAAATTATATTTTCAACAGCGATCGATCAAACTCAAATGGCAGAGCAGACGGAGGCGCAGATGCAGGCCAAATGAAGGAAGGGTATCGTATGTCAAGCAATGCATTCGCAACTGACAAAGAGAGAGAGAGGGGGAGAGAGAGAGAGAGGGGGGAGAGAGGGTGAGACAGACAAGCCGGTTAGATAAACAGAGGGACAAACAAATAAACAAACAAACGGGCTAACCGTCACACAGTGAGCGCCATATGTGCGCGTACACACATCTTGGGCTTCGTACATAAATGCATGTGCACATATGCATATGCGTGTGTGTGCGTTAGTCTGGCATGTTGGAGGCAAACATAAAACTACCGTTTGATCGATCGTTTTGATTAAAAATGCAACACATTTCTATATGATCTGTCACAGACAGCAGACAACAGACAACGGACAGCGAACAGCGAACGGCTGCGGCTGCGGCTGCGGCTGCGGTCGGAGACAAGCGAAATGTTTGTTAAAGTGAAATTAACGTCGCCAGCTAACAGCCTACCAATCAACAATGCCAGCACACTGTCCAACACAGTGTGAGTGCGTATCCATATCGCTATGGCTCAAGCTGCAGTTGCTGTATCTGTATCTGTATCTGCAACAGCTTCTATGGCGCAACACACGCATCATCTCTGTGTCTGTGTGTGTGTCTCTCTCTCTCTCTCTGCAGACAGGCAGCAGCCTTTCGTTGGCATGCAGTTGTCGCCATGTTGCAGAGCTGCAGCTCTTGGCGCATTTTCCGCATGATTGTTGGCTGCGCTTCCTCAAGATACACACATATGTGTATGTGTATGTGTATGTATATGTATATGTGTGTGTATGTGAGCCAGAGCCGCTCATCTGGTTTACAGTTTTGTTTTACAATTAATGAAATTCGATCGATTTATTAACTGTGTGTGTGTATTTTGCATTGCCAGCTCGTCAACTACCACCACCCCCGCCCCGCCCCCAATCGAGCATTGACGAAGCATCGTTTATTTGTGTTTTGGAATATGTGTATGTATACACATATTTATATTTTGTTGTTGCCTGCATTTCGCTGTCCATTAACCTTCATTAGGCTTAGGCTATGAATTGTCAGTGTTGTTGTTGTTGTTGTAGTTGCATTCGTTGTGTGTTGACAATTTCGATCGTTGTTCGATTTCACAATTGAACTTTATTTATTTGTTCGCCTTAATGAACTGTGTGAAACAAATTCGTAGCGAGCTGTGCTATGTTTTGTCCACACCCACCCACCACTATAACAGCTGCCCCCGCTGCTCCTCCTCTCGCATTGGCCAGCCACTTGACCAGGCTAACGCTGCAGCAGTCTCTCTCTCTCTCTCTCTCTCTCTCTCTCTCTCTCTCTCTCTCTCTTTTTCTCACTCTTTGTTTAGCTCCTATTGCACTGGCCAGTCGCTGGCGCATTTTCTGTGCAGCTCAAATTGTTATTGCACAATTTTCGTTTTTGGGAAATTCATTGCAATCGCCTGTTCGGCTTCGGGTTTTGGCTTGACTTGAAATAAACGTCGACAACAAAATGCGCCTAATTGCCGCTGACAGTTGTCGCGCATAACACTTTGTTTTTAGCTAATTTTACGACGCCTCTGGCGCGTTCAATAAATTTCGTATTTGTTTGCTTTAATGCGCTTACTCCTCGTGTATATAAAAATCGCTAATATATGTAAGTGTGTATGCCAGGCTCAAAGCCAAAAGCCATTCAAGTTCAGCACAAGGCCTCCTGCCAATGGCACTGCGCACGTGTCCGCTGCAGCTTTATGGCGGCAGTTGAGTCATGGCACAGTTTGTTGCCCCCCTTTATGGCAGCATCAGCAGCCGTTTGGCTACTGGGAATTATCATCGACACATTAGCATCGCTCCCGCTCTCGCTCGCTCTCTCTCTCTCGCTCTCTTTCTCCCACAGTCAGATTAGAGCGGTCAGCATGCAACCGTTAAAATTGCATGCCTTGGCATTGGCCATTATCAAACTGAGGCATCCATCTAGATGGGGCAGCCGGCAACACAATTGCAAATTGCAATTGCCCGGCCAATTACCAAGGGGGAAAATAGAGCAAAGTAGTCGAACTTCAGATGTGGGAAACTAGTTTCGGCCAGCACAGAATCTAGCTATCTATGGCCTTAAGAGAGTGGCCGGCCAAGCGGCTGCCCAGCTGCCCAATGATTATGCAATTTACATGATGGTCTTCTACGGCTCTCTCTCTCGCTCTCTCTGTCTCTCTCTTTGGCCCCTGGGGCAAGCGGAGGCAACTCTGACAACGAAGAACATTTCCATTGCCATACGATTTGTATATAAATCATTTTCCATTGCTGCCCAAATTAGATACTAAATAATCATAAATAACTGGGTTAATTTGTAACGCTTGCGCGCATGCGTAATGAACCGTTTAACCCGATTAGCCAACTGGCCCAGGCGACAAAAAACGGAGAACTACAGCAGGAGGCGGCCTCTTCTGGCTCTGCCCTGTGTGACGATAAGCAGTCTTCGATTTCCCAACGAAGCGTACCAAAAAGAAACTCTTGGAAAATGTTAATGAAAACGAAAATCAATTAACGCCGTCATATCAATGGAGCTAAAGGCCTCAAAGCGACTCGCGATCTCTGCGGGCCCCGTCAAGTTCAAAGTTATAAATGTGCCACAGCTCGTGCAGAGTTTATTTAATATTGTTTGACTCTGGTTTTTCTCCTTCTTTGTTTTTTTTTCTTTTTTGTCTTCGCTGACGGCATACAAAATCAGTTCACAAATCGTGTGCCATGGTATTTCGTTCGATTTGTTTGTGTCTTTTCAGGTTTCGTTGTCGTATTTCCTGTGCTGCATTTGAAAGTCAACACACAGAGAGAATTATTCTGCGGACTGGGATCAATTACCTTTCAAAACCAATTTGCATTTGAAATGCATAACAAAATCGTGTGCACACAATATTTTGGCAGTCGCACGCTGAGCCGCCGTCTGTGGCAGAAGTATTGTTAGACCCAAGACCCAGTCGGAGTCTCAACTGATTGGCAGGCTTTCAAATTTGCCATGCAGGTGGCTCCAACTGTGGCACCCACACAATTGCCTTATCTAACTGGCAGTTGCTCATTATTGCAACAGTTGCTGTTGCAGCCTTTACCTCTTTCTCGTCTGCAACTAGAGGTGTGTCAGTAGTTGCAACTGTTGCTGCTGCTGCTGCTGCGACTGTTGCTGCTGCTGCTGCTGCTGATTCGATCACGTGGCGCTGATCAATAAGTTGCAGGCACGCAAGCAACTTTTCTATCCCCCTCTCTCTACCCCTCTCCCCCTCTCACTCTCGCTAAAAGAAATATGGGTTAATGCTCAGGCAACAATCATTTGTTTTCATTGTTGATTGTATTTATATTTGTTGTGTTTGCGTTTGTTTACGATGATGCTCGACGCTGGCTGGTTATTAACAGTTGCTTTACTCTTACTTTTGATTAGGCCATGAGTTGGCGTTATTCGCAGCGCTGGCGAATTAATTCTTGAAAAGTAAATCTGATGATGATTTGTCAACTGCTTGGCCAAACGCCTCAAGTGCCACGCCACAATTTTTGTGGGTTACAATAACAATGGGAAAACGAAGCAGCTTTCATTTTCTGTGAGACAAACTGAAAGCATTGTGCAACAGATATATTCATAGATATATATATGTATGTATATGTATTTCTCAACGCCTAATTGAATTCTTGCATGCCATGCGGCAGCATATGTCACCCCGTTGCATGCATTTGCCTAGGCAGCGCAATTACAGCAAATTAACAGTGGGAGCTGTCAGTCCGTGGAGCTGTGGAGCTCCGGAGCTGTGTCCATCACTTTCGTTGCAATGTAAATTATGACAGGCCGTCCATAATTAATCAAAGCGTTAGGGCCGCCTCTACCTCTACTCGCCTCTACCGACTGCTGTTTAGTCTCAATTAACACACGCAAATTGTTATCCGGAGCTGCACCATTGCAGCTGACCATTGCACCATCGCACCACCACACCACCGAGCTGTGAAATATGCGCGGCATTTGAAAGTAAAAACAGTTCAGCACCTATTGGAATTTGTTATACTTGCAGTTAGTATAATGAACGCTCGGTCCGGCGGCCTTTTGTGTTGCTCAACCAGTTTAGAAATTCTACAGCTTTAAGTGACTAGCAGACAGACTGAGAAGCGAACTGTCTGTCCGAGTATGTTAGAGTGCGGTGGCCATGGCGAAACCTGATGTGCTACGTGTAGCGATTTGTATTTCAAATGACGTCTGGTTCCGTTGACTGAGCCAATGTCATCTGATTGAATTGCAAAAACTTGAGCTAGCTGCTCTGCAAGCTGGATGATACATTTGGCAATCATCTCTGGCCAGCTGCTGTTCCGTTCTGCCTGTGTGTGTATAAATCATTGCCTAAATGCATATCCAATCAGTTGCCTGGCCGATCATCAACAAACACTGTCCAGCATGCGTTGCATACTAATTTCGCGAGCCGTCGTACTAGACAACACCTACCAAGATTTATAGCCAAATACTTATCAATAGTTTATTGCCGTCGATTTTCAGATTTCTGGCGAAACTCGTCGAGAAATGTCGTAGAATCGTACAAATACCAAACAATCATATATTAAGCTGTGGGGCTATTCACTTTTAACCAACAAAACTTTACCTTTCTCTTTGCAGCTCGCTCTCGATAGATTTGCATGAAAATTGCAGCCAAAAAAGGTAAGCACAAATGATTTCATTGCTAAACAGAGATTTTACACGAAATGAAACAAGATGAACAAATATGCCAAATGAAATCAATAAATATTTGCCAGATACTAGATGCCAAATGCCTGATGTCACAACGTAGCTGTTCGCATTTTGACACCAAAATAAACAATATAAATATATATGTTTGTATGTATATGAATATCTATATATTATTTTAAAATTTTACATGGAGTCAAGACGGCAGCAGCAGCAGATGACAAGAAACACAGAGCAACAACAACGTGCTGTGAGGCAGACAGAAATCATTTATGTTAATCAACACATGTTTTCGAAGTCATTGGCCAGGCCGAGACCGCGGACCAGAGGCGCGATAGACCTGGCTAATGTAATGTGTCTGACGCTCTGGAGAGTCTCGTTTTGTTATTTGTTTTCTTTCTATATATATGTATATGTATGCATATATAAAAATGCCCAAAAAACCGAAACGAAATAAATATATACAAGAAACGTGTTTCGCATCTGTGTGTGTGTGTATGGGTGTGTGTGTGTGTGTCGCACAACAAAATCAAATTCAAATTGTGCTCCGTTGAAATTTGCGCTAATGTTGCCATTTGTGTTGTCGTTGTTGTTGCTGCTGCTGCTGCTGTTGTTGCTGCTGTTGCTGCTAGCAACATTGATGGGCCAGTTTGTTGCTGTTCGTGTCGTCGGCTGCCGCTGCTGCTATTGAAGGTGTAGACACGGGAATTATTTTGGTGTGCCGGCGACTTTATATGGCCGCCCCATGCCATACAAGATTTCTGCGTGCCTTGCGTTGTCGCGCCGCGGGTTTTCTAATTCTTATGCAAATATGCAGTGCCAATGCCGACGAGAGTTGTAGCTGTGGCTTCTGTTGCTATTGCTGTTGCTGCTGTTGCTGTTGCTCCCCAACTGTTTGCTAAACTCGCTACGATGTGTACACATTAATGCTCTCTCTCTCTCTCCCTTTGCTTATCTCTTTCGCTCTATCTTCAGCCATTGCACATCAGTGCGGATTCTTGCGAAATTTGCTGTGACTCAAAATCGTCAAAACTCGACAAACACATTTCAAAATCGAATTCGCATTAATTTCTAAACGAGTTAAGCGTAAAAGGTGAAAACAACTTTATTTTTATTTGTATTTTTGTTTTGGTGTGCGCTCAACTCTCAAAACGAGCAGCAACAACAACAGCCAGAGAACAACAACCAACGGCAACAAGAGCCATAACAACAATGATAACTAACGCTTTTAAATAACCATAAATGACAGCGCAGATAAAGGCGGCCCATAAAGTGCCAACTGAGTCGCCATGTGACGTGAATTTGCGGCGCTTCTGTCACCGGCGCAGATCAGAACCAGCTCTGGCAGTTCCAGAGAGCAGCACAACTGTAAAAGCAAACAGCGAAATGCTTCAGGAAATTACGCATACGCCCCGTGATGTGATTCTGTTGGTCTTTGGCTTTTTGCTTTTGCCCTGATATGACTCATAAATAATGACTTGATATATGGGCAAAAGCAATGCAGTTTATTGTCAATGTTGTTGTTATTTTCTTTTGAAATAATTCAAATATTTGTGTAGCTCAGCAATTTCCGTTTAAACAATGAATTTGGTTGGCAGTGGAAAATTTAATTTGTTTTCTATGTGAGATTAAACAAGGCCAAAAGTGCAAAATTTGATCTGTATAACATTGTTATCTGCATTCTAGAGAAAGGAAGAGAGACAGAGCCATGAGGGAAAGAGTGAAACAAAAAAAAGAGAGAAAGAGAGAGAGAGAGAGTGAGAGTCTTAGAATTGCCTTTCAATTATTGAAATTGAGTTTGCTTGTTTTATTAAGATCTTCGGAAAATAGAGAATAGTAAAGTAGGCAATTAATTGTAAATTATAATTTTAAAAATTGTAAAAAAAAGAAATAATTTTGTACATAATCTATTAATTTAATAAATTGGAATCTTTATTTTTTAAAAATATGAATTAATTTTTAAAATAAAGTATCTTTCAGCTTCATGAATACACATTTTAAATAGTTCAATTAAATAATGTTATTTAGATAAATAAATTACATTTTCCTAAATAAATTACATTTTAGGTGAGTCGAATTGGAATTCACTCAATCAATAAATGTGATTCGAATTAAAGTTTTTTCTGTCTTACTAAAATGTCTTAGTTCTTAGTTAGTTATTTTTTAACAAACATTAAACACAAGAAAAAACTAAATCAAAATAAATATATAAAGTGAGAAGATTAATAATAATAAAAAAAAATAAAAAAATAATAAAAATCAATTATTACATATAATAATAATAAAAAAATAAATATAAAAAATAAAAATAATAAATAAATATATAAAATTAGCTTAATAGCCTTAGCCGTTTAAGTCATTTAGACTGCAGAGTCAAAGTCAAAGACTTAATGTGTCGCTGTTGTTGTTTTTTATAAAAAGTGGAACAGGTCTAAATATGCCCGCCTGTTGCTTGATTTGCGTTAATCTGAACGCTGCTTTTGTTATGCTGGCCAAGTGGAATGAAAGCCCACGTCTGATTCCTTTCATTACCGGGCACAGCGTGGCACCACTTGACTCCTTTTCACTCTGCGCTCGCCGGGGCATGTTAATTGTGTGCGCTGCTTATGAACTTGACACGCCGAACGAATGGGATGCGAGGCGTTGCATTCGAATCATTCTATGTTTATGGACATGCTGCACTCATCGGTCCCAGATCGTCCGTCCGGGAGACAACATAAACTCACACTTAAAATCAATAAACGTAAACTGGGCAACGCCTGCCCACCTACGAATGCCTTGGACATGTGTAAGCTATAAAACTATAAAATAGCACAAACTTATGTGTACAATAAGCATAAACAAGCCATGCCCGCAGACAAGCCCTAAACAGAATATACCCACCTATCTATGTATGTATGTATATGCTGAAATGCCGAGGCTCCTTTGTATGAAGTTGTTGTTACATGGATAAACAAGTATTTTTATTGCAACGCATAAAAGGATCTCGGTCGATCTCTGTGGAGCCGTGGCCCACTCCTGGCCATAAAGACACTTAATTGCCATTTTATTACCTCAACTATTAGGCCACAGCTGGCAGTCGCCGTCGCCGTCGCCGTCGCAGTCGCAGTCGTGTCCTTCATTAGAACTCGTATTGGAGCGTCACGTCTTGCACTTCATTCACGCATCACAAATGGCCAGCTCACAGGGCATATGGCACCAGCGAAGCTAAGCTCAAGCACATTCGCTGGCTGCAGCTGCTGCATGCAAAGTGGCCCTGCGTCCGCTGCGCCCTTCAGCAGCAGCAACTGCAGTCGCCGTCGCCGTCGCAGTCTCAGTCGCAGTCACAGTCTCAGTTGCGATATCTTTAATGAAATCTACATGTTTTGTGCCTTAAAGCATTTTGCTTGTCTACTCATGTCGCTCTCTCGCCCGTAGAGATTTCCGTAGATGCGATCCTTTTGTGTGGGATTCCTGGCATGAGGCTGTGAGACGGCTCAGACAAGCCATTGGCTGGCTGATCGCCGGCTTTGTGGCTGGCATTGTGCGGCCCAGGCAAATCTTGTTAGCGCAAATATTAACTTGTAAATATGATGATGCCCCATGGAAATGGTATAAATCGCTGATAAATATCATTAGGTCTCAGCTCTCCGACAACAACAGCAACTAGCTGGGCTCCATTGCTTTTATTATTATTTTATTCTCTTTTTCTTTTCATTTTCGCTTTTTCCTCAAGCTCTTTTCGTATTTGTATTTGTATTTGTATTGCAATGCGCCTGGCAATTCTATTAAGATTTTTATCTTAAGTGCTTGTACAGCCTATTTGCTGCACTGCACCAGAGCGCGTATGCGTACTCGTAATTGTTTAGCAAATCAGTTGGAGAGGGCTCTGGAGAAGCTCACTCTATGGCCATGCCATAAGTGTTGCTGTTGCTGCAGCAATTGTTGCTGCTGCCATTGTTGTGCTCGATTGCACAGTAGTAACTGACAATTTGCAAAAACATTCGCTTACGAGCAGGAGCAAAATGCGTTAACTCAATTGAATGCGATATATGTATCTATAGGCGTAAATATATATCAGTTGCTGTCGTCATGCTGCTGTCTTTTGTCTCTTGTCTTGTTTGCCTGCTCCTGGAAGCATCATAATTCTAAGCAGCACAACAACAACAACAACAAAAACACACAACACGCTTCGCGCTCGTAAATAACTGCAGCAGAACCAACAACAAAGACGTGACAAATGCACTAAATGAGCTGCTTTATAGCGTGGGAGTTGCATTCTGCTCTCCAAAGTTCATGGGAAGCACTGCAAAGGCGCCAGTGACAGTGCCTCCTTCTCTCTCTCTCTCTCTCTCGTTCTCTACCTGTCTCTGTCTCTGTTTCTATCTCTGTTCCTGTGATAAAGTCACTTAGGTGCTCATATTTCAAACAAAACGTGCACATAAGCTTCCAACTCATATGCATTTATGTTTATTACATTCACACACACACACAGACACACACACGCATACTTGGTCTGCTAATCAGTGCTGCCCTATGGGGTTCCGATGCCATTTGGTAGTAATTTGGAGCACTCAACGCGAGCAGCGGGCCAGCGGTGCAGCACAGTTGGAAATGCAGCGCTTGGCTAACCAAAGCCGGCCACAAAACGTTAAATACAACGCGCCATGGTGCACGCTGCGTATGCGCATTATTTTTCAGACGGGTTCAATAAACGATTAGCTGACCGCCCAGTTCTTAGAGACATTGTTGTTGTTGTCGCTGTTGTCGCTGCATTGGTTGTTGTTGTTGTCGCTAGTATTGTTGGTTCGCTTGGGGCCACATTGCGTGTGCGTCTGCCAAAGTTATCGCGGCTTTTTACACTAAGACGAAGGCTAATATGTCATTTGGTCATTGATACGTGCTACGACGCGACGTCCGAGCGCAGCGAAGAGGAAGAGCTAAAGAGGGGCAATGTGGTGTGAGGGCAACGGCGGCGTCGAACGGTGCGACCAAAGCAAAACGCTTACTGTCAGTGTGAGACGCGTATA